TCACTGTTTGCGGATATGAACAAGTAATAGGGCAGTAACCACAGACATTTGAAATATGTTTTCGTTCACGCCTGAACCAAGACGGCACTGTCCTTGACGATTGAAGGACTGTATGGCGTCTTTCAGATGCAGTCGTATGAAGTTTCCGGACACTTCGGAAAAACTACTCTTTTCAAACCCCGGCCCATATATTTCAAATGTGATGAGGCCGGCATTCTCGAGAGAGAGATGACAATCGTGTGAGTCGCATGTTAATTGAGTCGTAGTTCATTAGCCCCCATCGTATACGCAAGTGCAGCGACCTGCCCAATCCGTACTCGGTGCTCAGGCGGAGCCTGGTCAAAGCAATTCGCGCCTGGGGGATCGCACAGGCCAACGCGTCATCTAACGCCAGGGCCAAGGAACCAGATGATCAAGCAATCATCACGTCCACTTCCACAACGTGTAATGAGAATTCAGAGGGTCACGACCCGCACGCCAACCATTAAGTAATTAGCGCACAAGCGGGAAACTACCCTCGATAGGCAGGAGCCGTTGGTTGTTATAGGTATGCAGAAGCTCATTGACTGTGTCCTATAAATACTACAGATCCCAGTGTATGAAGTACCGGTTTCCGCTAACTTGTCTGATGATGTATCCACGACGTTAGGATCGAAACGTCAGGCAAATACAATGCTTGTCCCAACGATCACATTCGTTTCCTCTAAATTACTTCATGGGACTTCGCATGTTCGCTAGTGTTAAGTTCGTAAAAGCCCATAGGACGCCGGCAATTCATTTAGTGGTTAACTGGGTAGTCGACGGACATCCAAGCTTATTTTATCTGCCTTGACCTTCGGCTCACGGCGCACAAGTTAAACGCCATCAAAGTTTAAGATGTGGTCCACCTGCGGTGCATGGCTTGCGACTTCGATCCTTGGGTCTAACGCATGCAGGACACACCGCTGCTGATGCATTCGCGTTCATAGCTGTCGGCCGGGTTCTCCGAATTCTCCATCATTACCTTGGCTGCTCGTATGGAATCAACCAATACGTAACAGCAAGCTGACTATTCAAGCAGGATATTCTAAGTAATCATCTAGGATCCACTAGAATGACTACTAAGCTGAATTAATTATTAAGAATTTTAGCAGACTTGCTTAAGATGAGTTGACCGAATTGTGAAAAAAACTCAAATAAAGCAAATCTGCCACTCCGAGCAGAGAAGGATGTGGGGTACATTGCTGGCCATGTCAGCCATGGAGATTGCAGGTTCTTTTGTGTACACAGGACCGACTTCCTCAAACTGATAGCGGTCGCTTCTGCCGCTGCTTCTAGCAGACGCTGAACCAGGGACTTGAGGCAGTTTTCTGAAAGCTTAGAAATCACGCGGAAGGCTTCGATTGGGGTTCACACGAGGTCTGGAATCAACAATGTCTGCGGGAATAGTGTTTTTCATGCTCCTGAATCCCTTTTTTTTTCAACTAATGCTAGAGGTGTTCTCTTATTCTTTTGGATAGGCGCCGACTCGTGTGACAAATATAAACTGCACCACCGCAACGCATCAATGAGTAGGTATGCATGGAGGTGGTCTGAGCTGGTCGACTAGCCTTAGCTTCTTCGTAGAAGGCCGGATTTTTGAGAATACTATTAGATCTCTTGGTGCTGGGAAGCTAGAGTCTTCCACCCCCACCCAAATTCTCACGACATAATTCTGTGAATAGACGAAAATTACTGACCGCATGCTTTACTTTGCATCCAGTTGTCATATAAATGTACTGATCCGATGATAATTTATCGAAAGCACGCATACGTTTGCAAACTTCCCTCCTGAGAACCAAACAATGTTTTTCTACTGAATCTAGTGACATTCTCTAGAAATGAAAGTATTTGGGGAAAACAAATTTTATGAAGAATAGCACCAGTCTTATACTCAATGTAACCATATACCTGAAGCAGGTGGAGAAATTCTTCCGAAGATATTAAACCATCATTGTTTGCATCATATAAATTAAATATCCAATTAATCTTCTGTTCAGGCGAACCCCGGTTAATCATTACAAAGGCGCACAAATACTCCTCAAAGGTAACGTTCCCATTCGAGTCGGCATCAATATTTTGAAAAATTAATTGTGAAAATTCTGTTACTCGCGAACCAGGATAGAAGGTCTCATAGACATCCTTAAATTGGTCCAGGTTAGCGGTTCCGCCAGGATACTGCTTGCAAAAGCGCTCATACATTTGTTGTAGTTCCTCTGTGTGCAACTTGGTCTTCTTTTTGATGCGAATCAACGTGGAGATCGGCAGAAGTGATGTTCGACGCTTAACCTGCATCCTGTTCTGGCAAATGAGATAAAGAAGGAAGCGTGCTTGCAGGGCTTGTTGATACTAGTCAACTAGAAATGGTAGCGCACAAAACGGGTGATCTTTCACTGTGTAGCAGCACCAGTAAAGTCAACCAGCTGTCTTCATATTTAAGTCTCCTGATCACATTCGCAGCCTAAGGAAGCCAGTTCAAGCATGCTGACTTGCATAAGGCATACCGTTAATACGATTGGCTCGTGGCTGCTAGATCAAGATCATTGTTAGGTAAGAGTGCACTTAAACCACCATAAGCACCAAGCACGTGCGTCACCTTCCTTCAGTTTTTGTTTTCTGTACTTTTAGGCTTCTGTTAGCTTTCCAAACAAGCACCGACTACCTTTGTTAGAGGCTGTGATTTTTTGACTTATGCGGCTACCTAGCGAATGCAAAATGTTAAGCGTTGAAGTCTTCCACGAAACGAAATTTGGCATTAAATGAAGTTAATTCTCACTTCAGTATGACATTACACAAAATATCATCAAATAAACCTGCTTGTGCGCTTATAACCTTCCGAAAGTTTACCAAGAGTTGCGGCACCTCGGTTCAGTCTCATTTAGAACAGGTCATAATAGTGTGGCGGCCATTGCTGTAACGGCTACTTCTAGCTGTGTCACCGTCTAATTACGTCCTGTTGAATCCCCAAGGAGTTACATAATATGGAGGGCGTAAAACTGGAAGCCACCCGGAGGAGAGTTTATTGTGCACAAAACCCGGAGTTGCTGTCTCGGATGGCAGGTGTGCCGCTGGCGTTGTTCAGGTCTGGATTTCCTCGCCTCGGGGCGAGCCCGGCAATCGGAAGCGGACTGACGGTGCCCTCGGAGTCCGTGTTGCAAATCACTGTCTGAGAGGTGACAGTGGCTTATAAGTGGTTGTCAAGCTTGTTCGCTTGTGGCACGATTAGGCGAACCTGTAGGAGCCTG